TTTTCGGGTTCCACTCGAGCATTGGCCTGACGCGCGATGTCACCCAGCGGCCTCCTCAGCGAGTGTCCAATCCGTCTCCACTTTCTCCTGCATATTTGTTGACCGATTGGTTCTTGTTTTGTTTGTTCCCGTAGTTTCTTGTTGGTGATTCTTTCCGGTCATCTGATCTTCAGTAAGTTAGTAATAAACAGGTATTTTAAGAGTCTAATTCATAAATTTAAGAGGAAGTGTTGGTGATAATCATGTTTCACCGAAAATTTACAAAAGGATGGAGAAAATGTAAACGAAAATGAGTACTCACTGACTGACCTACACTTCATGCATAACAACAGATCGATTACGGACGAATAATTGAAATGTCTTGTTTTTCATATCCGCTTCTGTCAAACTTCTAAGAATGTACTGCTTTGGCTTATGTAAGGTAGGATTCACACTTTTATGAACCAGGGATACTAGAGATGGAGACAAGAAAAATTGTGTGAGAAGTATTACACCTATCAATGAAGTTAGTGAATTTAAAGGATATAAGCGCAATACCTCATAATCATCAGACTGAATCTTTGTGATTTATAATTGTGTCCTCCTGAAGAATACAAATTTTCCGTTCTTAATCTTACTCCAATTTTCTAATTAGACAAAACTCTGCCCTGGCATAAATTAAGTCCTCACATACAAAAAATGAATTAGCATTTACATGAGGCACATTCTGGCTAAGACGTATAAGTACAATAGTGATTTAAAGTAAAGATATCCGGAGGTTAAAGAGGAGGTGTTTACTAAGTCGATAAATCCCATGAATTCATTAATGTAAGAGAAACTGTAAGGTGACAGTAAGCTATTACAGATTTTTAAACTCATAATGCTTGAAGGATATCCTTTGAAATCAATATTCTCTTTTGTCATTCAATGTCTGCAAAAATAGTGATACTCGATTAAATGCATACTCAAGCAAAAATCTCCATACTGTTTATGATAAACCCATCAAACACCCTTGACCTGTGGCTTTAATGCCTCGAACCATGAGTTGGGTTTGGATCTCTGCAAAAACATCATCACGCATAGGGGTGCAGGTACACCCCGCTGACGAGTCTCAAATTGAATGAAACGGTCTTCTTGGACCCACCGATAAACGTCACGAAATATATAACACCCTGACCTCTCTTGTCAGTGGTTATCACAATATGAAGTTGGACGATTACTGAAAACTGGAAGTGAATGCTGAAACTTGGTCTTTATATTTATTGCGACACATTGTTAAGACGTATTTTCAATTTTAATGGAATTAATGCCTTCTGGGATGTACAAATCAACTTTGACTAGATGTGCAGTCAGAAACTTTGACAATTAGCTATTTCAGCCATATATCATTATTTTATGATTGTCTACTTATTTATATCACTTGTATTTTCATGGTACCGGTTAGAATTCAAATGATGCCATAAGTTGGTCAGTCTTCCTCAGCTTGCCTTTCAGAGTGACACGTAATGCTGCCTAGTTCATAGTCGTAAGATAATTCAGACCAATTAAACGATTAATAAATCTTAAATGGGACACAAAACAAAGCAGAAAAATAATTTGTTGCACCAAGTCACTTATTTGTTGAATTTCATACATTTATTCCCCTTAATGAATTTGAACAAAGCAAGAACTACAGTTTTAGCAGAATAAAATGTTATCATCTTTTATTTCGTTGCCTTCTTGTCGGCTGCTTACAGGGAAAACAAATAACACCATGTCTACTTGTTGTTTTAAGGTTTATTTATCTTAGGCTTTCGCCTCTATACTAAATCTCATGACATAAAAAAAGGAGTTAAGAGGCTAGAATATTGTTATTTCGTTATTCTGATATTCAAAGTAACTGTGAACTACATTCAAGTAAAATCAGTCAAACTAACTTGTTATTTCCCATTTTCTATCTGCGTCATTTTGAAATTCACATGGGCATACTAAATTAGTGAAATAAATATAAATTGAACGAAATTCAAATACAGTCCTACCATTGATATAAGAATAAAAATTGTGCACTGTGGTAGAGTGTAATTCCGTTATGGGTAAATTTTGTTTTGATAAAGTCTCACAGTGTTATACAGTAATGTTTACTGACGACGTTTCGAGCACAATTTATTGCTCATAATCATATCAAGTTAATCACACGACTTCCTAAATTCATTTATATAGTTCCGTTGTTTTTCACTTGATTTGATTGGTAGTAATATTTTCCATATTTCGGGTATGAGTGATGGATCATTCCTATTACATGTGTTGGGTATAGATTCGATGAGCAAGGATTCAGTAATCAACCTCTTTCTCCACCTACCTGGATTACTTTTTAGAATTTTAACCCTCTCCCACCCTATTGTGTGGTTGTGTGTTAATGCATGCATTGCAACTGCTGAGCTTTTTTCTAAATTACTTATCTTCTCTGGGTCAACCATTCTTACCTTAGCTAAATTCGTATTCGGATTTTCAATACAAACGTCAAGTCAGTTCTTTTGTACGGATCAGAAACTTGGCGAGTCACAAAGAATATTTCCAACAGGTTGCAGACCTTTATCAACAGCTGTCTTCGTTCTGTACTCAAGATCAGATGACCGGAAAGAATCACCAACAAGAAACTACGGGAACAAACAAAACAAGAACCAATCAGTCAACAAATATGCAGGAGAAAGTGGAGACGGATTGGACACTCGCTGAGGAGGCCGCTGGGTGACATCGCGCGTCAGGCCAATGCTCGAGTGGAACCCGAAAAGGATGCGGCGAGTGGGACGTCCAAGGGTGACATGGAGGAGATCGTGTGAAGAGGAGTTGAAGCAGTATGGACTAAGATGGATGCAGATGATAAGTACAGTAGAAGACAGAAGCGAGTGGAGACGTGCAGTTTAAGCCCTATGTTCCACTAGGAACCCAAGGGAACAATAATAATAATAATAATAATGCATGCATTAACACACAACCACACAATAGGGTGGGAGAGGGTTAAAATTCTAAAAAGTAATCTAGGTAGGTGGAGAGAGAGGTTGATTACTGAATCCTTGCTCATCGAATCTATACCCAACACATGCAATAGGAATGATCCATCACTCATACCCGAAATATGGAAAATATTACTACCAATCAAATCAAGTGAAAAACAACGGAACTATATAAATGAATTTAGGAAGTCGTGTGATTAACTTGATATGATTATGAGCAATAAATTGTGCTCGAAACGTCGTCAGTAAACATTACTGTATAACACTGTGAGACTTTATCAAAACAAAATTTACCCATAATGGAATTACAGTCCTACAACTTTTATGTCAAAATAAGGGTTTATACATAAATTTTTAAAAAAAATTCTGAATGCATAAAATAAGAAAATAACACTTTTTTCTACTTTAATATATTGATATCAAGTTTAAAGTGTTCTTTTCAGATAACAATATTCAAAGTCGAGATTTCTACTTTCACTTTTGCTACCGATAGTCAACAAGTTAAAAACTTATAAGATAAATGTCTTTTAGGTGGATGCAGCTAAAATCCAAGTTATTATTCGAAAACAGCTCTGACTTTTACAGGGAAATGCTTTAAACACACTGAGTTTATGTTAGGTCATCTTACCATGATTCAGTCAGAATTCGTGTTCATATCAATTTACGGAACTTCATAATACATATGGCTGGATTTATTCATCACCTTTTAATCTTTTCTGTCAATGAACTTGCTATAATACTCACATGCATTGAATTGATTCAGTTATTTAAGAATAGAATAAAGCAGGTATCTATCTACTTTTATTATTTTGTAGTAATCAGCAGTTTTGCCGATTAGAAATAGCATGCCATTAAGATGTATTTTATAATTGCCAATCTTCCGTCGGCTTCCGTCATACTAACATCAACTTTTGAAATTGAAATGGATAAATTCCTGCTATATATGAGTCGTAATCTTTTTGAATACTGCTTTTCGTCTTTGTATTTGGACAGCTATCGCATCATGACCAAATTTTATTTCAAAAGACTTATTGATAATGAGAATTAGTTAGCATTTATATCTGTCATTCGGAATTCAAGTTCTTCCAATCTGTTTGCTTCGAATATATACAGTTCAGTTTTGTTCCTAAAATCAATAACCTATTCACCTATTACTGAGTAATACAGACTACACTGTGATAAATTACATCTCTACGATGCACTCTTAAGCCTTACTTATCTGGTGGAAGATTGTCTGTGAGGTAAGTAACCTCACCTCGTAAAAAATATTTTACAAAACCACTGCTTCTGAAACTTGAATGTTCAAGCATGAAGCTCTATGTTGCGCTCGGAACTCAAAGGAACGGAAAAACAATTCGATTTTATAATGTCACTGGTAACAATCCTGTTATCATTATTACTACTCAGACTTCTAACAAAGAAGACATTGTGCTAATCTTATGATGATTCACAAGTCCAACTTCTTGTAGGTATACAATTCTACTAATAGTTTTTTTTTTATATTTTTATTTTCATTACTTTTTTTGATTACAGCTTGATGCCACACCGTATTTTTCAGTACAAGTGTGGAATTTTCAACATGGATATCGATAGCCTAAATTTTACAGGCCGACCATAGATTTCGGGTGTGCATCGGTAGGGGATCGAACCCCGGACCATGTACATGGTCGGCGAGAGTCCTAACCACTGTGCCACCGACGCCCAGTGTTTCGTATTTATCAGCAAGTAGTGCATAAATTGCTACTCTGGTAATAAACTGTGTCATTTTAATTCCAATATAATTGAAATAACATCACAGGAAAGCTATAAAAATAATTTTCATTCCTAGAAAACATCATTTTAATGCAGCATTTTATGCACATTTTAAAGTCTAATGCAAAAGAGTATTTGATTAGCTTATTCCTCAAGAAAAAAGAATCAGTCTACAAAGCATGTGGTGAAATGACAACGACTTATAGAAATGTATCGATATTTTGTTGTGCATTTTCCAGTATCTAAATAATTTAAGCAGGCTCATTTTTAATAAAATCACGGTTCATAATGATAACAATGATAATAAAATTTACTTTTTGATCGAGCTGACGGTGTTAGAACCGATACCCATTGGCTGATAGCTGTAGAAATTCCGTTTTGGTAAACCCCATGTACGCGATAGGAATAATTGGCATTTTCATATGAATAATGAATGATATTGTTAAGATGCCAGGTTACATTGCTGGTTTCCATTAGTATAACTCCATCTCTTTCTACACTCTGCTCAATTACATAATGACTAAGACATTTAATTAATTTGCTAGAAGGACTATTCCAGCTGATTGCATGAACTGAAATTTTCGGTATGGACTTCACTCTTAAACCATCCAATATCCCCAATACTGAATTATCTTTAAAAAGAGATTTTTTTTGAAAAGAACAGAAATCATTTGTTTGGGTGAATGAAGAATTGGAAATTATTTTGCCGATAAATATAACTCGGAAAATGTCTTCAGTACCACGGAACATCCATTTCTTTAAAGGAAAGCCTGAAAGTCGATGCATAATTTATGTGCATATATATATATATATATGCATAAGTTGCACATTCCTTTACATGAATGTCATTCATTTTCTACAGTTTCTAGATGAATCAGGAAAAGACCGAGTAAGATGGCTTAGATTCGATAAGCTTTACTCAGTATTGTTTTATATATGGTGGTCAGGAGTTTAATGCAAGACAGATGCTTACTTCTTGTTTGAAATTCACTATCTGAATATGCCTGCATCCCAATTAGTGGCAGCATTTCATTGAAACCTCGAAATCAGCACCATCTGCTTCAAACATCAAACTGTTCTTCATTAGGCTACATTAATGGCAATGTCTATTCATCATATGGCAATGAACATTAGAGATTTTTTGGTTATAGAATTTCATCATGAGTTGACATCGGTTAGAGAACAATTGGAAAACCTTGGAGTACCGGACAGCTGTTTCGTCCTAGTTTGGGACACTTCATCAAGGTGCGTAATTCTGAAGATTCCCAAACTAGGACGAAACAGCTGTCCAGTACTCCCAGGTTTTCCAATGGTTCTCTAACCGATGTCAGCTCATGATGAAATCCTGTAACCAATAAATCAAATCCCTACAAACCAACACTTGAATATTAGAGATTTTGTTATAGTAAGAAAACGGTTAGGGAAAACAGAATTTTCAAAAAATAAGAGTTAATCAAGTTGTTCATATAAGCATAAAGTTAATATTTGAATTTTGAGGGTGAAGGAAGGTTGTTTAAGCTATCATAGATTGGAAAACTGATAATGAATTTATTGTAAGTCTAGTTCACGATTGTAGTAAAACCTAATTCACAAACCCACCTATATGAATCCTACTACCATTAACACCATACATCTTTATTTACACATGTACTTTACAAAACTGTAAGCGATGTCAGGCAATATTCTTTGAAGAGAAACATTTCAGTCCAATTTTTGAATGACAGGTTATTAAAACCGACAGTCTTATTCATTTCTCTCTTATAAATGGAAATTTTCACCAAGCTCCAGAAAATATAATATATCAGAAATGTAAACAAACTACAATATAATTGAATAAACGCAAAACACAAATAATTCAGCATGAGATAGCCTTAAACTTTACCTGAGTGAGTAGGACATTTTATTCTTCTGTCAGTATCTACAATTTAATGAAAAGAATATATTTACTTGAATAAAATTTGTCTTCATTTATTTTGCAATCACGAAATGAATCTTAACTCTTAGATTTTATCCCTCAACTTGAAAATAATATGGAAGATACACTGCTTAAATTGAAGATGAGAATAGTTTGATCTTCTCTATGTTATGAAGTGAGGTTAGTGTTGAAGATGCCAGCCAACTGAGGAGATGAAACTTCCACTATCGAGTACCATAGCCCGTTGGACGTCAAAATCTTTCTATTATTCTTTTATTATAAATTAGCAATTTTAGTAGGTTCTTAGGAGATCTGTTTTCAAGTATCTTAAGATTTCATGCACACTTATTTCTGTAACGAAAAGGCTTGTAACTTTTCTCCGTCTTTTAGTATTTGAGACCAAACTATGAGCTGAAAGGGAATTATCGAAACAAAAAAATACTCAAAGATTGAAACAAAGTCTTTCTGAAAAAGGTTTATTAACCACTTATTAATTTGTCTCCTAAACAACTGGATTATACTTCAGAATGTGGGGAGCTAGGAGACAGTAAGACTCAAGATCTCGATTTTGAAGAGGATTTATTATTTATTTATTTTATTTTTTATTTTGATTACAGCTTGATGCCACACCGTATTTCAGTACAAGTATGGAATTTTCAGCGTGGATATCGGTAGCCTAAATTTCAGGCCGACCATAGATATCGGGTGTGCGCCGGCAGGCGATCGAACCCCGGACCATGTACATGGTCGGCGAGAGTCCTAACCACTGTGCCACCGACGCACAGTGTCTAGTGTCACGCAAACTGGAAGACTAACAAGAGAAAGTCAACAAACTACCAGAAGAAGCAGCGAAGACGGAACTTCAGGTGAACATAGGGAAGAGTGAGACGATGAAGACAACCAACTAACAGCAACAACAAGCACCGATCACTGTCAGTGGAAGAAATTTGAAAGATATCAGTTCCTTGCTTCACTTATCTAGGCAGCATCGTTTTAACTGCAGCCAGTCAGAAGGGATGAGAATGTCAAAGCCAGCCATACTCGGAAAGGTGAGACATACCTCCAACACTCGGAAGTCAGTTTGGAAATCTTCTGCACTCAGCATCAGGAAAAACATTCGGATTTTCAGCATCAACTTTAAGTCAGTCCATCTATTTAGTTCAGATACTTGGCGAGGGCGTCAAAAAAGTATTTCTGACAGACTACTTCATATTTTTATCAACTGCTACCTTCGCTAGCTCTGCACTGAAGATCAGATGGTTGGTCATGAAGAATTAACAAAAAGAAACTGTGGGAACGAACCAATCAACAACCTATTGCTCAACAAATATCTTGAAGAAAACACAGACGGACTGCACGCACACTGAGGAGACCGTTCAGTGATATCGCCCAGGCTCTTGAGTAGAACCTGAATGAGAAACGACGAGTTAGGTGATCGACAGTGACACAAAGAAGATCTTGTGAGGAGAAGATTAGAGCTTACGGTGATTGTGGAGCAAACTGGAAAGTATTACAGAGAACAGGTGAAAATGGAGATGTACTATTAAGCCTTATGTTTTACTCAGAACCTAAAGTAATGAAAATAGCTATGTAATAAATTTATAACTAAACAAATGCATTCCTTAATAAGTATGCAATACTGAAGAGGTAGGAGACCAAAGAATTTGATTTAACTGATGTTTTGACCAACATTATTTAAACGATAATCGTCTGTAGATGTTCGTACAAATACATACACTAGTAGAATTCTGATGAATGCCATACGAATTCCAAATTGGAGTTTCGGAAAATATATATATATATATATCGTTTTACTCAATAATCCTCTCTTTCTTGATTACTTATGGTATGAAGCAGTTCACGTACCGTGATCTGAATAATTTCGGTTTTCATGAGAAAATGTGGTGAAATAATCACTTCAAATTGTGTAAACTGAAAATTAATTTGCTAATTGTGGGCTTCACTTATGGAACTGCCAGCTAGCAGAAGCAGCTAGCAAGATATTGTGTTGTTTGAACTGATTCGGCTCTCTGAGCTGAGCCAAACTGGGTCCATCCTTAATGACCTCGGTCCTAAACGAGCGAAACGGCTGTCGGGTGATTAGACCACTTTGATATGGCTATGAAGCACTACTGGTTGAAATAAGTAGTATAACACTACTCATCTCAATAAATCAATATTATACAGTTCTGTTAATTAGAGCGTGTGAAAACGCAATAAAATTTGTATATAGGTTTTCAAATCATCTAATTACCTATACTGGGTCATCACACATGATGTCGCACTATGCCACTTACCTGTCTTAGACAGATCAACTAAGGCACACTACTGATAGTCTCCATCTCAAACGAGCGACAATTCTGCTCTTGTGTTATTGTCACTTTTTATCGCCATTAATTTGTACAGGTAATTTAGTTCGTTAGTTATCTGGCTTGTCCAGTTAGAAAGTTCTCCTGTTTTATTCCATTCATACCCAAGACAGGCAGTTACTAGTGCTTAAAAATGAGCACATAAACATACTTTAAAGCCAACTGTTAGTAACTGTTTATCTGATGGAAAACGCGACATTGTGTTATATTGGAGTCTATAAAATATCAGACAGTTGCGATTCTTTTCATCTTGAGTTAGAAACCCTCACCTTAATATTTATCTCCTATGCATATATATACACGTCTTGAATCCATTTGTTAAAGTAAACCTTTTAATTTTAGGAAATGTATTTCACAAATAAGTGTATTCTCTCAACTTACATGTTGAATAATCCATGTAGACTTCATTACGTAAACTGCTATTCTGTACAGATTTAACGACAACTCCAATTTTATACATTTTATTTAAATCGAGTGTATCAAATTCAAAATAGTTCATCTCTGTTGGAAATTCGCATCGTTTTCCATTATCTTCGAAGAAGGCAAACACTTTATACGGACATAAAATCTCCTTATTTTTGTCCACTGTCCAATTTAAACGAATTATTCGATTATTTGAATTTGGTAATAATTGTAAACTTAAATTTTGTGCATTTGGAATGTATTCAGCTGTAAGTGTTTATTGATAGATTGTGAAAGAATAAAGTCAAATGTTTAACGCTTATATGATAGTTTCTTTGCTATGTATTTAATTTTAAAAATTCACGTTTATCCCGAACAGTTATCTGTCAATAAACTGTTTGTCTTATATTCACTCATGATAATATCCAGATGACTGGATGCTTGTCCTTGGGATGAACCGTTTTTTTGCACTCTGCTACAAAACTGTTGAAAAGTCCTATATTGCGAAGAAAGAGTTATTCTGTGCTCTTAATCTTAAATTGCTTTTATAAGTGATTTCATTTTGAGAAATGAGGAAAGGTAAATTTCCCAGTGTTATTTTTCAAATATCCCACCAGTCATACGAGCCTGTACCACTTATTCACAAGGCACTCCAAAGCAATTTACATTAGTTGAAGCAAAACAGGGAGTTAGTCATTAACCTTATATCATATGTCACTCGACAAATTGGTGGATTAATAGCCCAACCATTGTTTGATGAAATCGTCCTGAGAACAGCTTTTTCACTTCAGTTCATTAAATTTAAAAAAAAAAACATCATTGAACATAATGTAGTAAGATATGGGAAAATAACAGAAATCATTAAAACTGCTGGTATTTTCGTCTGTATTTTGTTATGACAGTGTGATTCTACAAACGAAACTTTGTATTTATCTGTACTCCTGAACTGTATTCATCTAAATTATTTAACCCTTACGTAAATGTTTTGTCAGTTTCACATTTCTGTTTAATTCACAGCATTCATTCCTATCACTAGAATATTCTTGTGATTATTTCTATATCTGCGTTAATGAGGCTAACAACAACTTTTATTCTTTTTTTCATTAGGCTATTTAATCAAATGATGTTAATATCTTTCACCTTTATGGTCAATAAATATGATTCATCATAGGAAATAATTGTATGAAATTAATATTAAAGTTGTATACAGCCAAAAAAGAACCAACGAAATGAAAGGATGTTATGGTTATCGTGTTCAGTTTATTGTTCTTGTTTTGTTCAAGTTCTCTGACAGAAATAATGCCATGACATCCAAAGTCTTATTTGGTCTGACAGTCATCTTACTCACATCACATATATAACTCTACGGCTCTGCAATGAGGTTATGAAAAGAACATTGGTTGCTTACTTATGCTGTTTTGAATTCGTTTAGTCTTTTTATTCATGAATAAAATTTTATTATATATAATGATCACTATTATTATATTTATTCTCACTTTATGTACGAAGTCTTTCCACTTTTGTTTTAATTTTTTTCACGTGTAATAATTTAATGAGTTTGCCTTGTTGATGTGATTTCTAAGTTTTTTAACAAAAGAAATTATCACTAAGCCCACTTCAGTAGTGTCGCTAATTCCAATTTTACCAAGTGAACTTCTCATTCTAGAATTCATTTACTAATTAGTATTTTTGAAAATACTTCTGCTAATGTTATATTGATTTACTAGCCAGTGATAAACTTATTAATTGGATGTGTAACTTTTGAAAAAAAGAAAAGATTTGTAAGCAATTGAAACAAAAGTATACTTTTGTGTCTAAACATCTGTTGCCGTTTTCATAAACCCACGGATATCTTTCTAATGCAACTTACGTCTTATTTCAAAGGGAGCATCTACGGTTACTTGGAATGGTAACTCAATGAAAACATAAATCATGTATGTTAACTGGCTTGGACAAGTGCTAAGAGGTATTTCAATAACACCAGTGCCTGTGGAATTGAATGTTAAACCTGTATCCGTTTGAACAGTTATGAACTGTGCAGTCCCTTGCGTCCATAGCGATTCAGCTCTTATAATCAGATTGGTCCCATTTATTTCTATTCCAAAGCCTTCAAGAAAAAAAAATGCAGATTGTATTGTTTGTCATCAGTTGGGTGTTGATTGTTCATTGTCGTCATTTGAAGAGATGAGAAGAAAGGAAGAGAAAAAGATTGGGAAGTTTGTGGTTAATTAGTGATTCTTCAGATTATTTATAAACTGGTCACAAAATACAAATTTTAAAATTAAAATATATTTTAAAAGAATGTGACAATAGAAATGTTGACAACTACTATCTTATTTGTATGCAAGAAATTTGCAACGGAATGTGAAGTAAACTAGACTGCTGAAATCCACCTAATAATTAATTTTGTATTTATATTTTATTGATACTATTATTGATTTAAATGTCTCTGTTAACTGGTTCTCCCCTCTAATCTGTAGTTCAAAGGGAAAGTTAAACGCAATATTGTACTACATGCTGAGAATTCCACAACTCATCAAATGTACTTCTTGGAATGAAGCCATTACTAATATTTCTATTCGATTGTAAAGTTGATAAGTTGTTGGCAGAAGTTAGAATTCATCGGCCATTGGATCTCATCCCAATGGCTTATTGTTCTACAAGCTAGCTCGCCTTGTAACCAGGAGGTCCTGGGTATGAATCCCAGCGGGTGCATATTGATGAACAGTCCCAAACTAGAATGAAACAGCTGTTCAGTACTCTCAGGTTTTCCAATGGTTCTCTAACCGTTATCAGCTCATGATGAAATCCTATAACCAATAAATCAAATCTCTACAAAGCCAATACTTGAAAATATTAATTATAACTGAATAAACTCCAAGGTCATAACATTGTTTGAGTAGGATGAAATTCCTAGTCTCATGTAAGCTAATTATCAGAAAATAACCAATTCTACACTGTCAAGTGCTTAGCACTTAATAGGTTCTATGAATCATATTTACTACGTGATTAATAAACCAAGAAACTTATCGTCGTGATGCACTTCAGATTGATGTTACATAGTCGAGACAAATCATTAGACAATCTTGAATCTGGTTTCTATGTTTGTTGGAAGTGATCAACAGGGCAAACCTTTGACCAAGTAGCTTACAATTAACGTCTATAACCATAACAATGTGTCGAGTTAGTTTGAATATCGATTTTCACACCCATTTCCTTGAGGTTGCGCATGCTCCTTGTTGACAAATACCAACAAACATGAAATCTAGGACCACGGCTACCTACTAACTGCTATCAACCACTTAGCTTCAATACTTGTTCTCGTATTCATATCTCCTAGTTCGTGTAGATTGCACACGAAAGGCGTTTTTTAGCCGACCTTCTTCACTTAAAAGCAGGTTGAAATGTTAATATTCATGACTTACTATTCCAGTATGCTTTACTCAATACAAAGTGACTTTTTGACAAATTTCAAGAAAGAATATTTGATATTCAAACATAGAGTCGTATTTTAAATGATCTTAAAAGCTTTTGAAATGTCTGATATAGGCTTTCACCTAATTTAAACCACAAATTCAATGTTATGCCTGTTAGTTCATCGATAAAGGACCGACTGAACGACTGCATAGCAGAGTCTATATAAGGTACTTAATAATTTTGAAAGCCTAATAATTTTATTTATTTTTAAATTTTCTTTTTTCCAAATGTATAGTTTTGGCGTATTCAGTTAGCCTAAAGGAGAATTTTGTAACGAATCGATAATTGCTAAAAATCTCTTTAAAAACCAGGAAGCATTTCGTAGTTGCTTTGTCCTAGTTTAAGACTGTTAATCAGTGTGGTATAAAGAGAACAAGTTTTCATTTGAACACATCAGCAACTGAAAATTTGTCCATTTTGCATTAGCTGCTCACTTTTGGGTGGAGTTCACAGACCTCTGATGAGAAATCATGAGGACTGATACTCATTAGTGGTGTTGGATGGCCGCATCTTTGTGTCGCAAGTGAACAGGGTTTAGAATTCATAGGTACCTGAATGGCAAAACACACTTCTGTTATTTAGGCAGTCATGAATTCGAGTCTTTTTGTTTACTACTCTGGATTTCCAAAGTGACACAAAACACCTTTCGAGTCCCCTGAGATTCATACTGGTTACCTAAAGTCTGACTTTGGTTGTTTATTCGAACCTCAATTAATACCCCTGCAATAGCGTTCCAAACTGCTAGATTCAAATGCTTACGATTCACTTTTTCACACAAAAATGGAGACGTTATTCCATCGCCGTGTACAAATGGTTGCTTAACCAATGGTCTTCAGGGTTCATTCATTTTAATCACTTGATTTCTTGCAATCAGAAAAAGCACTGAATTCTCATATAGTTTAAAGAAAGGTCAATTATGAATAAGTATGAACACAATTATCGTTAGTGTCATTTGTCTGGCTGTTGTTAGTATTGTAATCCAGAACAGGTGTTTCATCTGGTCTCTGGCTATTTAGTTGGATGTATCTGCACATCATTAATCAATGGTAACCTGACTGAAACTCGAATCCAGTATTCTTGGTTCTGAGTAGTACTCACTAAGCTATTGAAGGAAAAGTCACTTGTGGTGGAACATAGGTGGTTTAATATCAAAAAGATGTCAGGAGTATAAATAGATAATATCATGCATGTTTCTAGACATTTCTGGAAAGATGTTTGATGTTCTTGGCCTAGGTAGGTCAGTTTGATCACATAAGTTGGATATGCTTTTTATGAACGCAAATATTGGGTTTACTTTGATTCACTTGCATAGCTTAAGCTATATATATGGTTGATGCAATCAACAATTCCCCTATTATGGTAACAGCTTCTGCTTCTGTCTGGTGCTCACTTTCTACCAAATGAAGGGAATGAGCAGCACTTATTGCCATATTTGTTCTTTTTCTCAACCAAACTAATACTTGTTCGTAAGCATGTAAGTATAAAGTCTTCCGAATTAGATCAATGTAATTAGCAGAATAGGAGCAGTTAAATTTGTAGATACATACCGATATGCCAATGACTAGTAATTTATCTTTATTTCTCTCTACTGGTCAAGATCTAGTTGGTAAGCTAATGTATAATTTTAGGCTTCTGATTTTCTTCCAATCTTTTAACTGCAATTTCAATTGAGTAATGCTTTCATATGGACCAGATAAATTATATCTTTAATCTCATTGAAATTCAAACTACCCATACACATACAGGAGAAATAATAAACAATTTTAAAACTGAAACTGAGACTAAAAACTATAACAAAGTTTCTAGCCCTCATTAAATAACTGCGGTAAATATGATTCAGATTTTTGCAGGCCATAAAAAGGAAGTCTTGGATTTAAGTTTCATGTTTGCTGATATTTGTCAGTAAGGTGTATCTGCAACATCGAAGAAACAAATGTCCGTCTGAAGATTCAATCCTGTGTCACCTAGACATTGTAATTATTACATCATAGTTGAAGCTTTTGTGATGTCCTTGATAAGTGTAAAGTCAACGTTTTTCTTGTTAATTTTTTTTCAAATTCGTTCATTCGTCATCTTCAATTTTTTAATGCATTTTAGACGATAGTTATTTAACTGTGAGGTTATCACGGTTACCACCTGTCCCTATCATACACCATAAGGTGTTTTCAACGGATTAAAAAAATTGACTTGGAAACCTGTGGTGGCCGGAAAATATCAGATTATACGTTCATCATAAAATAGTAAGCATAATGAATTTACAGAAAATCATGGTTGTTACGTGAGAATGAATAAGGACACTACCGAGCTCCGCGCGCAGTACGGATGAGACTTCTTTTCTCTTTTCACATTTTCCAACCAATTCTGTCTCGTAACTGATCAGTACATCAACATTGGGGTCCTTTCCTCCAATCTACGTTTCTCTCCGTAAGTGCCCTCCGGCCGTTGGCATCTCTTACTTGTAGTGAGCATCTGTATACCCAAGAAAAGGAATATTTCATCCCTACCATACTGCATGACTATATTTGAGTATTTTGGGACTATTATAACTTTTCAAACAACTGCATTTTATGTGTATATTAACTTATGTGGACTGAATACCCTTCTACATACATACATATTAGTATTTGTTTTGTCCTTTTTATTTCGCGTATAAACGAACTTAGCAGTTTAGTCCACTACAAACCTTTTCTATCTAATCTGAATTATTTAACAGAGAAAAGCTTTCAAACTCAGAGAGTATTCGTCTCAGCTTTATAGATTCACTAAACTGCGTTTCTCGTTTAGATAGGTCTGTAGACAACTTGGATTGAAAAGGTGTATTGCATCTCCGTGCTTAGACAACCTCTGATAGTTAAATGATTTTTATGCTTATGTGGTCAAGAATTATTGCTTAGATTACTTCATGAAAAGCTAGTAACAACAAGATTGATCAAAAAAGAGCTTTCCATTGGAAAAATAAGAGATACAT